AGTTGTGGAAATCACAAACCCTAAGGATGGCAGGACATTCAAGATCAATTGCCAAAGACTTAAGCTATTCTTTGTTAGGTTTGAAGGTCAAGGGGTGGAGGAAGAATTGGTGGATCCAAGTTTCTTGGACTTGTTGGAGGATTAACGGTTCTTATGGTTTTTAGTGTACAGTTGTTTTTACTTTATCTATTTAGGTTTACCTACTTTATCTTTGTGCAATTTTTCTTAAGTTGCAGATATTAGTGTTTTTTTTTTGTCAAAGCTCAAGTGCGAGGTGTTCTCTAACCCTACTTGTATTTTTACAATCCTTCATTGCATATCATATCTTTTTTGTTGCATTGAGGACAATGCATGTATCAAGTTGAGGGGGTGAGGTGCACCATTAGTATAATACACCAATGTTTGTGGACATTTTTGTTGATAATACCAAATTTTGGGGTGAAATTCACCTTCCACATATCACTCATATTTTTATTTAGAATAGTTGAAAATTATGTAAAACTTTTGAAAATTTTTGAGAAAAATATTTGAATGTTGATCTGTATTCCCTTATTTAGAGTGCTATAGGTTTGTTGATATTTGTTTTGAACCTTGAGCACATGAGCACATTATAGAAGTTCATCCTATGTGTGAGTATCACATATGTATGTGCTTTTGAACTCAACCATACGTGCACCTTAAATGTGTAATTTTGGCAATTTACGAATTGGATTCATATACTAGTGTTTGACAGGAATAGTGGAGATGAATAAGGACCCATGAGAGCTTTAGAGTCAATCCTTGTTGGAGGGAATTTACATTTACTCAAGGAACAATTTTTCAATTTCAAATTTCTTCAATAATCTCATTATGCTTATTTTGGCTAGATGCATTTGGGTAGTGGATTGACTTTATCTTGAAATGCAATGTGCTCCCCCATGCCCATTCAGAAAGGATCTAAGGCCATCTTTGATTTACTTTGAGCCTTAGCCTGTTTCTTTTGAAATTTTATCCCTCATGCCATGATTGAGACTTAATTGTAAATTCGTTTCCATACCAAACATTTGACCAAGTTAGTGCAGAATGATAAAAGTCTACCTCACCTTGATTGTTGCTAGAGCTGACTATGAGAGTGATCATTAAAGAAAGGAAGTATGGTGTGGAAAATCAACAAAAGAGATGAATTGAAGTTGAATTCAAAGAGTTGAATGGAAAATAATGAAAATTCAAGAAAAGGAGAACAAGGGGTGAAAAGAAGAAAATAATGACAAAATAGGAGGAAAATGTTAAGGAAAAGAGAGAAAGAAAAACTGAGAGTGTGGTGATGGTGTTAGATTGAAAAGCCCATGAAAAGGGAGATGTTTTGAAACAAAAGCTATTCACTTAGAAGAACCCTCTTTGTTATCGGCTATCCTTTGTTCATTTACGTAGATGTCACCCCAATGCCTCATTACAACCCGTGAAAGTCCTAAATGATCTAGAAAAGCATGGGGGATGCATATTTTTAAAGAAAATAGAAGTTGGTTTTGCTATCTAATGCCCTTCATGAGATTATGTCATTTTGTTTTTCCATTTTCATGCATGAACTTCATTTGTGGATTATATGTGAGCACACTTCATTTTGGGCATAAGATTCTATCTCACGTGTACACATGGAAAGCATGCCAGGATAACTAGTGTGATTCATCATTAAGAGAGACTTTTGGTGAGTTTTACATTGAAGCTAAATTTGGCTAGCCAGTCGAATGCTAATTCTGTTGTGTAAATGCTTAAATTACATATCCAATTGACACACACATGAGTTTGAAAATGAATTTGTAGGAACATGCTCTAGACTAGTATTTAAAGCTATGGTGATGCTCATGTGTGATTGGTTCATGCATTTGAACGATGTGTTAAGTAGCCCCATGCTTTCAGGATAAGGGAATATTGCTCAAGCTTTTGATATTTGTGGTAATTAGGAATGCCCTTGTTAAGTAGCCCCATACATTTTTGGTGTTCATTTTGGTAGTTAAATGTAGAAATATATACATTGTGTTTTGAAAGCATCAAGATTGTAAATCATATTGCAATTTCGGTATTGACTTAGGGCATGATGGTTCAAATCATTGTTTACAAGTGTAGCACATGTTTTGGTGGAGTAGAAGTCATAATTAGAGTGCTTATATATGTAGGAGTTGAAGTGAAGTGGAGAGCACAAATTTTTACAAATAAGTGAAAACCTACTGGCACTACATGAAAATGGTTTTTTTGCATAAGTAATTTGTCGACTCAAAAGATCATGTTGCCGTTGCAAATAGTATTTGCGATAGCAACGTGATCTTTTGACTTAGCAAATTGGGGTTGGCAAGTAATAGGCTATGCAAACGATTTTCCATCGGCAATTAGCCGTCATAAAAGCTTTTAGATCGCCAAAACCTGATGCAAAGGTGTTGTCGCAAAAAATCCTTAGATTCGACATTTTTTGTTTGTATCAGCTATTTTTTGTCACAAAAAACCCATGTGCGATGGTTTAAATCCATTGTAAAAGGTTTTATTAACCCCAGTTTGGGAACGTTGCCGCAAACCCCATTTGCAACGGTTAAAATCTATCACAAAATATATTATTAGCCATAGTAGGGGACTGTCGTAGTAAACTCATTTACAACAGTTTTAACAAAAGATATTATTAGCCACAGTAAAAGACAGCCTCAACTAACCCATTTACAATGTTTTATAATTGTCGCAAAATATATTATTTGCCATACCAATAGGCTGACAAAAAAAATGATATTACTCTTTTGATGTTATTTGCATCAGTAAATTGCTTTCATGAATATTTTTTTTGTTAAAATCTAATTCTCTCTTTCACATGTTTCTCTACACCTGTTTACATATCAAATACATTACCCATAACATCATTTGATTAAAATCATAAGGCATATCTCTCAAAACAAAAACATCTAAATTTTAAAATAAAAATATATTCAACATAAGTAAATAGCATCCTAAATTTTCAAAACAAAATATTCCAAACTTAGTAATGAAAGTGTCAATGCTTAATAAAAAAATTTAGTCTCCCAATGCACCATTTGCTCTTTAATCATGCACAATGTGTACTCTCTACCCATGCATCATCTACTCTCAGTGTTATTTACTCATTTGATAGCACCTACAAAAAATACGATTTCTGTTATTATTGTCAATAATATGTTTGGTTGCTAATTATATACATATTAATTAAGAGAAAACATACATCACTAGATGACCAAACAACACATTTTCCCATTGCTTGCCCAACAATAATTACACCAAGAAAAGGTCTTATCAAATAAGTATTAGGCATTATTGCTTCTTTAACATACACGTTCAAAAAATCAGGTCACAATAACAAGGATCCCTTTCACCACTACTTGCCTTGGTAAATGAGAACTAAGCAGGTCTATTTTTGTATGAACCTACAACCACAGGTGTTAACAACTGTTAGAAGCCAAAACAAATACAATTGAAAAAAAAATTACAATTGTAAATCTATGTATCACACATTGTTATAAACTATATTTACCATACACATGCACTTACCTCAGTATTGTTCAGACCTAGTCTATGCTTTCTTTTTTCCTCCCTAACAACACATGTCTACAAAAAAAAAGGCAACACTACATTAGTCAGTATAAAAGTTGTGTGAATTCCTGCCCCAAATATNTTTTTCCTCCCTAACAACACATGTCTACAAAAAAAAAGGCAACACTACATTAGTCAGTATAAAAGTTGTGTGAATTCCTGCCCCAAATATCTAGAGTCTACTCCATCTAGGCACCTCAGAGAGTCGCTGTGTGAATTCCTCCTACCATGTGGCAACATGAGAATATCCAGTTAAGTTACAATAGAATCACAAATGTCCAGATACATGATCAATAGGTGCATACATACAANTTTAGAAATTGATAAGTTATTGAAACAATAATATCAAATGTTCATTGTACTCCACTGGTCCAACCCCAGAGCATCCACCCTCCTTCTGGCGAGAACGTATCAAATCAAGTTGTTGACACATATCATTAATCTCCTTTNATCAAATGTTCATTGTACTCCACTGGTCCAACCCCAGAGCATCCACCCTCCTTCTGGCGAGAACGTATCAAATCAAGTTGTTGACACATATCATTAATCTCCTTTCGAAACTCTTCTCTTAACTCCTCTCGTAGCTCTTGACGCATCCTCTTTCTTTCCAAGTCTGCGGATACTTGAGATGGAGTGGAGGCTTGGCCGTATACATCACTCCACATGAATCCTGAACCATAAGTCCGCACATAGTCATGACCATCCTCTCCAACTACGTCATGGAATACCCTATCCCGAATATCTGGAGTCTGCTCCATCTCTGGCACCTCAGAGAGTCGCTGTGTGAATTCCTCCTACCATGTTTCAACATGAGTATATCCAGTAAAGTTACAATATAATCGTACTAAAAATTTGTACATACCATATAACCTGCCGTCTCCTCGTCACATGGAGCGCCATTCTTTGTACATGTTTTGATGAACACACTCATTTTGTCTGTATTCTCTCAATTATTTTCTATTTGAATTCTCAGTAAAAAATACATATTTTAATTGTAAGTTGAAATAGAAAAAACAGTAACATGTCAATAATTTTTATTTTTCATAACAACTTACATCCATCTGAACTTTGGCAAAGGGTGTTCGCCCTGTCCTGTGTGTCGGGCCTCGCAATGCACGATTCTTAGAATTTCGCTTTGATATTACCTGTAACATTAATAATATAAAAATAAATTTTACTGTTTTAATATATGTCAATAATAAAAACTAATATGTGCACATACCTTTGCTTCATTAGTACCCCAATATTGCACAAGTGTACGTCATTGCTTAGGTACCACCCGATCAGGAACTCTTGACAAACGCTCCTCATCTGTAGTAGCACTATCATGAATACTACGCCTTTAGCTTAGCTTTCCAATCCTTCCAAATCTTTCCACAAATCTTCAAGCAGACCTTTCTAAACTCTGGAGNAATCACTAATGTGATATGGGTCGTATAAATCAACTGAATCATCCATGTTCCTCTTGGAGGATGAAATGTGGATAGTTTCTTGATACAATCCTTGCCTGAAATGCACAACCTGTTCTTCAAGCCGCACAACCTCCTCTTCCAAAATAGTTACTTCAGCAAGAGGGTCCAATGTCTATAGAAATCGACACAATTACAATCTCATTTCATATACAGTAAATTTGAGGTAGAAGATTATATGGCTAGCAAATAGAATATGAACTGGAATTGGGTTATAACTTCTGTTGCGTTTGCACAAGTATTTTCAACCATGCCAATTATGTTTTGCAATTTATTTCATCACCCACTAAAATTCTTAGTACTTTTTTATATTTCAATTTTTGGAAACCTTCAATGTCACTTTCTACTACAATTATTGTTGAATAGGGTGATAACAGACAAACAAACAAACAAGAATTGGGGAGAGAGAAAGGATGAGAGAGTAAAATACTAACACAAGAAGAAAGATAAGGAGGAAGGTGAGATAGAGCTCCCAAAGGTCTGGAAAATGCCCTCTCCAAATCCCTGTGAACATTCTCTTCTTGTCTCAGCTTCTTCTTCTTGAGTTTATCAACCTAAAATCCATGTATGATACTATTAGTACAACATTAAAATGGGAAACAAAATTATATTCAAATGACAATGGTAGTGATATCCACCATCTTACATCTTGTTGCAATGCCATTTTTCTCTCTCTGATCGAACAACGTCAACTTGTGGTCGATTTCTCAGAATCCAATACCCTGCTTCTCTGCATTTTTACCTATTCCTTCAAGCAAT